TTGTAGGGACAGAAGGTCCAAACCAGCCTTTTTCACTATGTATGTATGCCAGAATGAAGGTAAACTTTATTTTTTATTTATTTATTTTTTTACTAGTTAGCCATTCCGCGTAATGCCTCCAAATATTTTCCCGATTGGCACTGGCATCTGGAATTTCACCATTAGAATAAAATTTTATGATTAAGGTTTAGCTTTAAGAAAGCCCTTGTTACAATGCACTTGGAAGGGACCAGGGAAATGAACATATTCATACCCATAGTTAACCACTACTGATTCTTACCAGATTGACTAGTTGTCTGTTCTAATGGCTCTCTTGTTGAGTACAAGCAATCCCAAAGGAGAGCTGTATTTAAATGCAAAGGATAAAATAATTCCAAAGTATGGAGAAGTGGAGATAGCTGAACAGTGCCTCATCTTCAGGAAGTGTGGGGGAAAAGGGGGTGTAGGAGATGAGAAAGCAGTTAAAAGGAACAGAGAGGGTGGGATGACAGAAGTCAGTCAGCCTACTTAGAATTATTTAGTCCTAGGACTATTCTTAAAAATGTTTTAGAAATCTCTTCTGCTTTAAATTGAGTGATTCCCCCTGGTTTTCGTAGTCAGCAATGATTGAAAACAACGGAAAGGCCATGTTAAGCCATGTTAATATTTCTTAATCACCAAACACACCTAACTCATTAAATTTTGAGTCCTTTATAGTTTCACTTAGCATATTGCTGTTGGTACTTGATAAATATTTGTGAAATGAGTGAATCCTTCTGTGATTCTGTTTTTTTTTTTTAACTTTGGAATTGACTCAGTGTTGGATGCATGGAAATTGTAATATAATGCTTGATGCAGCCTTCCAAAAACAATAGCAAAGTCTGTAACAGCATTGTCCTACAGAACTCTGTCATGATAAAAATGTTGTTTCATTGGCCCTGAACAATATAGCAGCCACTAGTCACAAGTGGATACCGAGTACTTCAAATGTAGCTAGTGAGACCAAGGAACTGGCTTTTAATTTACTTAGCCACTTGTGGCTAGTGGCTACCTATGGTATTGGATAGTGCAGGTCTAGAGGTTTTATTAAAAATTTTCTGCCCCTTTCACTTTGTTTTTTTAAAAAGCAGCTATTTCTATTAATACCATCAATTATTATATATAATTTCCTCTCGTTTGTATTTTTTTCTTTTTCTATTGGAAATAATTTGACTTACCTATGATAACGCTAAAGGTGAGTATAGCAAACCAGACTGACTTGCATGGCAGCATCTGGGGGAACTTATGTGTATTATTTATAAAAAACTTACAATCTGCAGTCAATTTCTAATTTCAACTATTGACATAAAAGGAGCTAGCCTGTGTAGATGAAATAGTGAAGCATGAGAGGTCTGTCCTCTGCACTAACAGGCTGGCCTTTCAAGTCAGTCTGTCCTTTTATTTCCCCCTCCCTCAGGAATCTGGCACCTTCTGGGTGCCCTCCTCTCCTTTCCATAACAAAATTATTTGGGATAACCTCCTTGTAACTCTTCCTAATTGTATAGATGAGAAAACAGACACTGCAAAGAACCAGGGAGGGTAAGACAAGGACTATTGATGAACTCCTATGTGCTTACTAGAAACTGTATATGATGCTGGGGAAAAGTGCCTGCTTGAGCATTGCCTCCCTGGCAAATAAATATTTTTGAATGGAAATACACACACATTTTTACAAGGTGAAACAGATGAGGAAACTGAAATTTAGAGAAGTTATATGACTTCCTTAAGGCTAAGCACACCCAATGCTCCAACACAATCTTCTTTTCTCTTAACTGTTTAACTCCTTGCCATGTTTCCTGTGTCCTAGGGGTTTTGCTCTTTGCCTTCCAGAGATAACAGCCAGCTAAACTGACCGCTAGATTTACATCAACGGCTGCAAAGGTATTAACAGAACCCGCTCCAGCCCCCTGCCCTTTTCCAGGGAATTTTAATGCTAACCTTCTGGGGACAGTGTCAACTCACAAAAATGGCTCCCTGGGAATTTCACGCTGTTGAGGAGATTTTATTTTGGTACTTTAGCGGCGTTAAAAAAATATATATATTCCAGAGCAGATTTTTTTCCTGGAGTCTGGACGCTTACGTAGAAAGGACGTATTCACTTACAAACTCCACTTCAACAGCGTTTGCATCTGTCTTAGTCTACAGCACGAGTAGCCGACTGATTTGTGTACTGGCCCCCATCACTACGGATGACTTGTAGGAAACATTAGAAACTGGCTCCTCCTCCACCTCTCCCTTCACCCCTTGGATCCTTGTACGCTTCAGAGTAGGATGTAAAAACGTAGGCGCTTTTGGAGAGGATTTGAACATTAAAATATGGCTCCGTGATTTTCAACACAAAGACCGCAAACAGCGCTAGAGCACAAGTATTTAAAATAGATCACATCCTAAAGTTGGAGGGCTACAAAGTACAAGTCGTCCAGGCTAGTCCGCAGAGACTGTTCGTGCTTCCGCCCTGCAACAACCCGGCAGGCGACACGTCGCGACGAATTTCAGCTGCAGAAGAGGAAGAGCATCACCTGCAGTTCGAGGCGTGGGAAACGCGGCCGGAGCGGGGCTTGCGAGAAAGCCAGCCGGAGAGGTGCGCGCCGCGGGGCCGCCCCGGCGCCGAGTGCGAGGAACGCCGGCGCTCGGCGGAGCCCGGGAGACGCGGCGGGGTGGAGAGGGGCAGACGCTTCACTGTCGGGACCGCAGCGGCCACAGACACCGCTGCGGCAGGAGAGCCGGCCGAGCTTCCGAGCTCGCGGCCGCTACTGTCCAAGAGGCGGACCCCGCGGGAGAATCCCGTCCGGGCGGCGGGGCTGGGGGCTAGGCGGGGCGCTGACGTCACCTCCCCTCCCCCACCTCCTCCAGGCGGGAGGGAGTGGGGAAAGAGGCAGTGATCCGCCGCAGCTCCCGGCCGCAACTCCTAAACTCGGCGGCTAGCTGCCCGGACATGTCCTGACAAACTTGGTTTCTCTTCGGCCCTCTCTCTAGCCCTCGCGCACTCTCATTTCACCTCCTTTTGCTGCTCAAGTTTCCCCCAGGACGGAAGCCTCCGGAGATGCGGCCACCTGGGCGGCGCGGGCGGATCGCACTCTCGTTGGCGACATGCTGAAGATCCGAGGGAAGCAAAGTTGGTACTTCATACACGGCTTGTAACAAATATTCAAATCGCGTGGCGATTACGGACCTGCCGGGACTTTAAAGCAGAACACCGAGGACTCGGCTGGACGGGTGAGTTCTTTCTGGAGTGCAAGTCTTTCCGTATTTAAGTTTAAACGTTAATGAAATTGCGTGGGGTGTTTGACTAGTACAGGGAAGCGTGTGCATCCTACCGGCTTTCCGCTCGGCGAGCTGCACACCCGCCCTGGCTGTGCTTGACTCGGGAATGAAAGATCAGTATGCATAGGTTTTGGAATTCATAAAATACTTACAAAGCACTGTTCAAAAGAACTTGAAAAGCTATGCTGTTTGTGCATTATTTCAAATGTAACTTATTATAGAAATGGTGCCCAGGGAGGGCGCATTGGGTGCCGCGTGATCTGCAGTGGCGCAGCGCCCTCTAGTCCGGGCACCCGGCAAAGCGCGCGCTCTCCGCACGGACGGCGAACTTGGACCTGCCGGGCGCTCTTGGGACGTGGACGTGAGGTCCGTCGCCGTCACCCTAGCCTTCACTTACCACCCACTCCGGCCCATTCTATATCTAATATACAAATACCAGCTTGGGTGGACTGGATGCAGAGGCAGTGCTGGCGGAAAGCTTTTTTTGTTTTCGGGAACCCATCCCCCTCATTTTCTAGAGCCTTTGGGTACTGGGTTAGGGAGGATCGACTATTGAGAGGACAAACGTGGAGCTTGTACTACATTTCTTGTTCATGTGAAGGTAATTAGCTGGTAGCAAAAAGGCACCTCTGTTTCGTTCCGTTGGGGCTAAAGGATCAGTAAAAACGTGGCAGCACCAGACTGAGAAATCTCCATCTCTGGCTCTCGGCTGTTCCTCTGGCGACGAAGTGCAACTTCTTTCAGGCAATTAGGTTTTCAGTGGACCTGGCAAACCGGGATTCCCAAACAGATGTTTTAGTCCAAGTAAGCGTTATTAGTTATTAGTGAATGGTAATTTTCTCCAGGAATTCTTTTGTGTCATTTTAAAAATCTTGTGATTTTACGTTATGGGATGGTGTCTTTTTACCTTTTACTGTTCTTCTCCTCCCCCGCCCCCCGCATCCCGCCCCAACAAACTGTTGGCGTTCGTGTGTGATTGTGTTTTGTTTAGAGTTAGAATTCGGCAACGGGCACAAACGAGTTGAGCTTGGAGACCAGATAACCTACTTTCGAGGTGTTCCATGTATGAAACTCACCTGTAACTCCAGGAGCGCTCTGCCGTGGCCAAGTGTTTGGATGATGATGTTTGCTGGGTGTGTGAATTTCTGTGTATTCTAAATAACGCGCAGGGAATACACCACATACTCTTAGTGCTACGAATCAGCACACTCATTCTGCAGGCATTATTTTTCCTTCCCAGCCATGACCTTCTAGACACATTCCCCCCCCCCCCCCCGCATCACCTTCTTTGAGATGGCATAAGAGGAGACTGCATTAACTTTGAAATAGGGAAATTCTCTCCTTAACCCTAGACTCCCTTACCCCCATTTGCCTCGTACTTCTTCCAGCAGCCCCCTCCACCGGTTCCAGGGAAATCATCTCTCTTTGTCCTCACAGCGTTAACGTATTCGAGCTGCACAAACTTTCCGAGGTCAAGGCCGCCCTCTTCTCCCGGCTGTTTCCCAGCGCCCGGGAGCACTCCGGGCTGCGCTGAGCCGGCGCCTGGAGCTCTGCCCGCGCTGAGGACCGGCTCACAGCACCGCGATGCCCGGACTGCGCGCTCCGGTGTGGGGGGAGTTCCCCGAGTGGGCCTTCTGGACGCCCGGGGTTTCCCCTTCTCCCTGCGGAACTTGTAGTTTCACGTCAGACTGCGTTCACAGCCTGCGGGGTGTACTTACCGCGTGGGAAAGCGCACGAGACGGCACCGCTGCCTTTTGTCCCGCAGACCTGGGAGTCAGGGGTGTCCGCCGGCGGAGGCCGGCGTTGGGGTTCGTAACCACGGCTGGAGAAGTTCCGGGGTCTAACCAGCTCTGCGCAAAGAGGTCGCGAAGGAAGCGTTTTCACTTTCCCGGGATTTTAGTGTACTGTAGATTGAAAAAGGAAGTAGGTTCCGATCTAACTGCATTCCTTTTGAGACCTTTTGGAAGATTTTATTCCACCAAGCAATTGCAGACCTACAGCCAAGACATTCAAATTCAGATTTAGGAATTCCCTGAAGGTTCCCGTGAATCTAAAGGAGGAGGCGTGGGAAGCTTTTTCTTTAGTCCTTAGCTCTTTTTTTTTTTTTTTTTTTTTTAAGCTAAGTTAATGTTCCCCCTTTCCTAGTAGGGAGCATTCCCTATTACCTGCACAAATCTGTGTGCTGGCCATAACTAACCTCGGCACTAGAGCGAGCCCCAATCTGTTCCTCGCGGTGTCGCTAGGTCATCCTGGACACTCGCTGGTCTCCTGGAAAGGAGTTGGCTGCTGTAGCTGCTGGGAGATCTCTGACCCTTGGCGGGGCGTCGTAGCCCGGACCCCGCGGACTGGGATTCCGGCTGCCAGGGAAAGTCGGGTCGAGTTTCTGCGCGGGAGAAAAGAGCGCCGGCGCGAGCGGGCGTGGCTGCGAGCGGAGGGATATATCCCGCGCCGGGTGCGTGAGGCGCCGGGTGCGTGAGACGCCGGGGCTGCACCGGCCGGGCTTGGAGTGGGGCTCGCAGGTGGCGGGGCGCTGCCTCAGAGCGGGGCGCAAGGAAAGCGAGGGCGGGCCGCAGATACCATGCGGCCCTGCGGAGCCAGTGAGGCCCCGGACCGACCCGGACCCCGCTCGGGGGCGCGCTGAGGCGGCGAGGTGCGCGCCCCCGAGAGCGCCGCCGCCGCTTCGGGCTAACTTTGCTGTAAGTTTGAAGGAAACCAGTTGGGGCTTGAGGGCGGTGGGCGAGGGGCGCAGCGGCGCACTCGGTGCCATTGCGCGGCCGGGCCGAAGCCGTATGTGCCCGCGGGACGAGCAACTTGCTGCTGCCGGGTGGCGGGCTTCCGGCTCGTTGGGAGCTTGCCCCTCACTGTCCAGTCCAGGACCGAGCGCCCCCCGGCGCTCTGGGGACGGGATGGAAAGAAAGAGACCCGCCGGACGGTGGTGGTGCCGAGGCCCCTGCCCACTTGGAAAGTTCAGGGCAGGCCCTGGATTCGGGTGGGTGGGCGGAGGCGGATGGGCGGGAGCGGTTAAGGCGCGACGTGACCCGAATGGTAATTACCTACCCGACTGCTGCTGCGAGCTGGCGGCGGCCCCGGCTGCACCGGCTCTGGCCCCGGAGCCATTGCTGGAAATCAAAGCGGCAGCCGCGGCGCGGGGTTCCCGGCGGCTTCTGGGCGAGAACTTCCGCCTCGCCCGGAGCTCGGAAACTCAACACGCGCGTTCCACTTTCTTCTCTCCGGTAACACGCGTGCCTGTTAAAGACTTATCTGATGTCGCTCCGCGGCTAATTTCTTGCGATTTGTAAGATATTCACAGCGTTGGTGTGATGAAAGGAGAGGCCAACTGCTAAGGGATGGGATCTTTGAAATGGAGTCACCGAGTTCTTTTAGATGTTTTGTGCCCTGAAGGAGTGCTGTCCTGAGGTTTGAGTTGTAACTGGTTGAATGTAGTTAAGCATAGGTGAGTGATAAATATCGGGGCTAAACATTTGCAGCTGTGCTATCCGTTTGTTTCTTTTTTGGAAGAGAAACTTCTAAGATCTTTTTTTTTAAGAGATTCTGGTTCTTCAGTGCTTTTTCTTTCTCTAAGTGCTTTCCTCTAGGAAGCTAACTTTCTGTTGTGTCTAAGAATTTTTTTGTTCCCACTGATGTGAATTGCGGGACTTTGAAAACAAGGACGCAATTGTATGCGTTAGGAAAGTAAACTCATAAATATTTTCTGTGCAGTTAGAGGTTTTTTTTTTCCTTCATGTGTCTGAACTATGATTTCATTAAATAGCTTTTGTTAAGCAACTCCTATTTACAGTGACTGAAATCGGAAAAAGATTTAAAAGGCAAACGATCTTCAGTTATTTATGTATCTTTCACAAAAGCAGATTCTTGAGGCGTCATACATTCAGAGATAGGTTTCAATAGTTTAAGATAGCTGCACGTGTTAAAACTAGGTGATGGTGATGTTTTTTTCATGTTACTCTTAGCGTTGTGGTTATCCAGCACATCGAGTTACTGCAGTTACTCATAGAGTGTGTTTCTCCAGGTATATAGGTTAATTCTGATGTTTGGCTTTGTGTTTTAGGACAGCTCTCTGGTTCCACAAGTGGAATTATTATCCCCCTTTCTTTTCTATATACTTAAGCTTTAAGATGGGTGTAAAAGTGCTTAAAACATTACATAATTTTTAAAAACAACGATGAATATAACTCAATTATGTCAAACATGGCATTTAACACGTTCATAGTAGGGTTTGATTTGAATAAAGTGTGCATTTGTGTACCCATTACTTGAAAAATGAATATTTTAAGTGAACTAATTCTTTGTCACTCTGAAAGGAAGTGAAGTTCTTAGAGGACTTCATAAAAATATTTCAGGCCACCTGCATATCTGTTCATTTGTATCTTTTAATTAGTCACTAGAAGTACACCTAGTGGTTTTGCACCATGTTAGTAGACCATTTAAATCCATGTTATGGTCAGGTGCCAAAAGAGGAATCTAAAAATTATATGCAAACTACTACTGTTTTCCTCCCCCTGATCCCATGCCTTCCTAGTGTATGTCTTTAGACTTAGCTCTCAAGTTGTCTCCGAAGTAGTCATTTCTTTGAACGCTAGAAGTGAAAGGGATGTTACAGATTATTTTAACTCCTTTAACAAGTCTACTGCCACCTGTTTTCCACCCAAATTTTGCAGATTTTACATAGAATCAGTAAACTAAATCAAATTCAATGCATTATTGTTGCATTAAATGTTGTCTCCATGGCCTAATTTGTGGCCTAAAGGACCTGATTTAATAGCAGGAAGCCATAAGGCCAGGTGTCTTGTTTATTAATCTTTATGAGTGGGAAACTGCAGCAGGTAAGCTTTCTTTTGACCAAATTATATAGTTGATGAAGCCAAACTGTGTCTTTTTGTCTCACCTAATTGTTTAATTTGCAAGTGTTAGTTTGTCCTTAGGCACTGGTAAGGAGTTTTTGAAATGAGTGATGCAGGCAATTCATTTAACCAAGATCAGAAAGTTGCATTTTTTTCTCTCCTCAGGTCTGGGAGGAACTTTTTATTTCAAAAATGTATTCAATCAGATGAGGAATCTGTATATTTCACATAATAAAGTTTTTAAAAAAATGATCTTTTCCTTAAGTCCCAGATTTAAATATATTGCCAAAATTCTTGCTTAATTCCAAAGTTTTATTATTTATGTGGAGATAAATCTGTAATTAAATGTCTTCTATAGACCACTTAGGAAAATCGGTAATTATTTAATTCTTATCTTCGTAAAATATGCAAGCATAATGCTTCATAGTAAGCTCTGTAGTGGGGACGCTGATCTGGCATCGCCTGTAGCCACTTTGGAAGTATCTTGAGTTGGTTGATGACCTCTTTTTGAGCTGCTGGAAATTAGAGCCTTCTGCAGGGCACCCATCGGCAGTGTTGTTACTGGCCTAGTGGTTGCGCCTGGATTTTCTGTTAAGTTTACAACGATGGATGTATTGTTTTCCCATGTTATCCCTCCTTATCCCCCACCCCCTCCCACCCATCAGTCCTGCCTTCCGTTCTCCATTGCTAATCCTCATCTATCTGTCCATTCATGCACCCAACAACTGTGGATCTCCTCTGTGCCAAACACTGGGTCAGATGCAATAAACAGTGGTGAACAAAGCAGGGTTCCTGCTCTCAAGAAGCTTACAGACCAGCAGGAGAGAAGGACAAATAAACAGTTATCTCCAGTGTGGTAAGAGAGACCCATCTGGGTCAGGGTAGTTCATCATAGCACCTCAGTGAGCTAGGTGGATATTAGGATAGGGTGAGGTCTGGGGGAAGAGTGAATCAGGAGGCAGTGATTCACGGAGAGGAAATACACGTAAAGCAAGTTGTAGAAACCCTTGGTGTTGTGGTTTGATGAATGGTGAGAAAAAAGACCTGAGCACACCATGTTATCTTTCGGAAAAGGGTTGGTTGGTTTATCATCAGTGTTTCTTTAATCCTTCTTTCACGTTTCTTATGGCTTGCCTTTTTTTCTTTGCGTAGGGAAAACAGAAAATCTATGACCTGGGCTCACCTTGGCTTATAAAGATAGAGAAGATAAATTTTATGGAGGTTAAGAAGAGAGGAAAGAAAGAAATGTTGAAGAGAAAGGTGGAAATAACGAAACTGTGTGTGATGAGTAAAGGGCAGGAAAAAATAAAATTGGCACGTTTGCGTTGTCTTTTCGAAGAGAAAGGCGGCGATGCTGCAAGTTTACAGCCTCCGCCACTAGGTGGTGTCATGGGCTCAGGACAGCTTGGTGGTTTCAAGACTGTGGGAAGGACACCTTTTTGGTTTGAAACAGAAGTAATATGGGAGATTAAATTGGGAAAGTAGGTAGAGGTCAGATTGTCAGAGATTTCTAATACAAGATTAAGAAGGACGTACTTAATCCGAAGGATAAGGGGAAACACTGAATATTTCAAACTATCGAGTGACATTACAAAGAAGTTTTGATGAGACTAATTTCATTGCAGTATGTAGGCTAAATAGTATGGGGGCAAGAAAGCAGGAATACCAAAAGGCGGTTCACATGCTGTGCCTGAACAAATACAAATATGAACCAAGTGGCAGCAGCAGAAATGGAAGAAGAACGGTTTTGAGAAATTGAGAAATAAAAAAATGTCAAGTCTAGATGACTTGAGATATGGAGGTTTGACAGTTAAGATAAAAAGTCATAGAAATCCTGAATTTCTGGAGTGTGTGTGTGTGTGTGTACAAAGAGAGAGAGAAAAAGGAGGTGGGGAAAGAATGTGTATCTGTGGAGGGTAGAAAGCTGTAAAGATTTTAGTCCAGTCTCTAGTTTTTCAAATAAAGAAATGGAATCTAAGGACTAATTAACTCCCTTGAAGTCACACAGATGATTAGTGACAAAGCCTGGGCTAGATCACAGGTTTTATGACTGCCAGCTGCTTTTTTAAATTTGATTTCTTAGATTGCAAACTTGGTGATTTGGGAAGTGGTGAAACTCTTCAAGGACGTAGGAAATCACTCTATCTTCAGTGGAATAGCTATTATTTTGCAGTGGGAAGTGGGTGAAGACACTGTATAACTTAAGTCTGAAGGTATCCCTGGGGTGGGGGAAGTTGTTCCATGGCACTTGTTGGAGGTTAGGGTGGAATGCAGGCTTCTGCGGTGATCCTTTATGATAAGGGCAGAGGGGATGATGTCTTTAAGGGTAACAATATGTGTGTGTGTGAAAAGAGTTGAAAGAAATTTGTAGTGACAAACTGGAAGGTGAAAGAGTTGGTGTAGCTTATAAAAGGGTATTGGAGAGAATCAGGAAAGTTTAGTGCTGTCCATCCTTTACACGTTCTGTATGTATCACCTCTTTGTTTTAGGCAGTTTGTGACAGTATGAAGGACACATACGGGGGAGGAGGGTGAGTAGTGTCAAATCGGAGATTGTCAGGGAGGATGAGTACTGAGAAAAAGGCATTAGTTTTGACATTAGCCTTTGACACCAGAAGAAGCTGCTTCTGTTGCCTGGGTGGATCTGAGGTCATGTGGAACAGTTGAGGGTAGAAACAACAATGTCTTTAGTGGAGGGAGTTCTAAGGAAGTCAAGGTAGCACTGAGAAACTACTCTTTGCAAACATAAGAAGGTGAGAAATAGGCTGTTGGCTTGAAGGAAGTGCAGGTTTGAATGAAAGCTGTTTTCAGTGGGAAAGAACCTGTGTGTATTTG